GACCCTAGTGAGGATTAGGCGGTGTATAGATGATGGATGGATAGGTTATTGTAAATCCTTCATCATCAATAGTGAGAAAGTTCATTAATATTGTACGATGGCTTTATCTTAAATACACTTCTCTTTGAGTCAATTCTTGCGATCCATTATGTTGAAGTAACTGTGCTTTAAAATAAATGTACTTCTTAAATGCATGGGTCGTTTTTCATGCATCACCAGTGACCCGCCATTAATATATTAAAATAATGAACAAATGCAAACATAGATTGTCATGTAGATGAAAAGATTATAAGAGCAATACATTACTTTGGAACTTTGACACCAACACTTTTATAGTGATATTAGTGTATTAGTTGAGTCATACCAGGGAGCTGAGGGCTTGATTGAATGAAATCAATGACGTACAGTGTGTTCTATAGTCCAGTGCTGTCTTGACCTTAAGCGTATCGAAGGGTTAAAACATGATTGTTCTGTTATTAATGATTTTCTTAAACGTTGCTGAAAATCAAACCTAAATAGATCCAAACGAGTCGAAATGTGATCGATGAGTTTAACAGTGGGTTTGTAAATCGAATCAAATACTTCAACCGTAAGATCTATATTGTACAGAGATAATCTTATCAGTCTTCATGTCAGCATTCATCTTTCAGTTAGTCAGATTGCAGCCTTCCTCTCTTCTTATCTAAGCAGCTGGCAGTAGGAGGAAAGCATTGCCAACGTTATTTAACAGGCACCCGCTGACCTATCAAAGCCATCGTCAGCACAGGCAGCCAACTGTTTATGAGGTCCTAAAAAGACAGTTATGGGTGTAGCAGGAACGCCAAAATGGGGCCGCGACAGTGGTCCTGTTGCTCGAAAACGTCTCTCCAAACATTCGACACAGCGACAGCCGTTGCTCTTATCGCTCCTCATCTCTGCGTTATTTCAGCCACGGCTTCAGACGTCTTTTTTCAGAGGGGGGTTAGGGTGGTCGGGGCGGGAGGGGAGGGCGCTCGGTTGGAGGCAGGAACTTAATTTTCAAACTCAAAAGGACAGAATGAAGCCTTTAAGTTAATATTACCCCGTGGAGAGCTCAGAGAGCCAGCTGCATTTTAATGGGGATTAATACCCAGGCTCTGTCGGCACATTATTCACCTTTATCAGCTCCAACAAGCAGGCAAGGCAGCGAGAGAGCAGAGTCCCTCTCTCCCTCTTTTGCTTTGTAGGGTGGAACAGAGGCTGAAACAATGCAGAGAAAATGAAGGATGAAATGGGTGCCGATTATACTGTCAGTCACATTAAAGTTTAACTGGGTGGAGGCTTGGATGGACCCCCCTTTGAGGCCCCGGCGGTTACAGACGGTAAAGAGTGGGAGAGAGAGTGAGTGATGGAGGAGAAATTCTTTCTTTTGATTATGCACAGGCCGTCTCTGTGTCTCTGTCTCAGAGAGCAAAAGTGAGCCTTTGTTTTACAGAGCAAGTTGGGCCTTTGAAAGCCCAAAATGTCAGAGCTTTATTATGATCTCAAAGCAGTGGGTGTTTTTAAGGAAGTGCTTATGCTTTGTAGCACAAAAGGTAACATTAGTAAGTTACTGCAGCTGCACAAGCGGGCTTTTGCTGACGAAAACGGCGGTGGCTGCGATCTCATTTGCTCAGTGTGTATTTTGCGTCGTCTGTCAGCTGCTGTGACTGCAGGATTTTTTTAGTGGTGACCTTGAGGACGGAGACACCAGCAGTTAGCAGCGTTAGACCTAATTTCATTCACATTACAGCAAACAAATGGTACCAAACAGTCTTTCGATGTTGATAGGGCTGCTGGTTTTACTCATATATTAATGACTGAAGCAGGTCTTCAGGCAAAGATTTTCTGTTTTGTTACTGAAGGGAATCACAGTTTTCTGAGGTGACGACATCCAGCTCCAGGTTTGTGCTGTTGTGTTCTTTCAGGTCCATCAGATTCACCCTGAACCTGGAGGCACACAATCAGTACAGCAACATACGGGTGGTTTTTACTGCCTCAAGTGCAGAATAATGTCTGTTAAGGAGGGATTTATTTTTTTCAGGTTGTGGGGTCGCAAACACAGTCACATTTCAAATGGAGACAAGCTGTTGAGTCGTCAGTTAAAATGATCCATCGCATATATAAAGGCAGCATAGACGTCGTCGTACTGATCATGGATGTCGTAAACTTGTAGAGTAATCGGACCAGTGCAGCACATGTAAACATAACATTACTCGTTTATTTGGTTTGTATCTTACACGGGGCTCATTTGTAGTTTTAAGTGAACTTCAGTACACTTAATGTAATCGTGCTGAAGAGGCTCACGTTCTGCTCATTAGTGGTTTTGCTGGATTATGATCATAATACTTCTGTACTGCAGTGTCTGATTTAGATAGTGTGAGATTATGATGCAAATGACAATGTGCCCCCATTCATGCATGTAATTATGGCGGGAAAGTTAATTCTTGACTACTGTACAGCAAAACCTACTGTTAGACATGCAGTTAGTGCATGTGTAGCATATGTCACACCGTATTTAGTGTCCATTCAACAGAAGCAAATCAAACGCGGGGACCGCAGGGGGATCATGACATCAGGGGATTGTTGGACCAGGAAATGATCGTGATAATGAGCGGCTTTCAGGAACAAGTGCTACGTTGGTGTCAGCTCTCAGTTAATAACCTTGAAATTACTGTACATCCTCCATTTTCTGCTGAACACTGCAACAGCTAGACAGCACCTCACATGCTTGTTTCCCTAACATTTGGACACCATCCTTGTTCTTTATATCTGAAGCGAGCTTATCGCTGGAAAAACAAAATCGTCTGGTGATCAAAACATTCATGTGCTGCAAGGTTTTACGGGACGTTTTTGCTTCGGTGTACTGCAAGTCTGTTGACCTGATGTTGGAGTTACTCATGATGTTACCATTGAGTTTCTCTCGTTCCCTCCACGTTCTGGTTATCAGTGAAACACCCTAAATGCCACCTGTCACCCTCTGCAGGCTTCTTCCCAGGCAGCTCCCAAGGCTGTGATGCCTTCCTTCGCCACAAGATGACACTGATCTCTCCATCCATCCTGAAGAAATACGGCATTCCCTTCGACAGGGTGAGTGGCAACCGGCCCATGTACAAATGGCACAGGAGGACTTTGTTTTTGTTTTTTGTTTTCTTTGTCATCGAGAAAAGAAAAAATCTTTACATTGGTCTTAGTATAGTCTGTGTTATAGTTAGAAGTGTCAGTTCTGAGTCACAGTCAAGACGTTAAAATGATTTAAAGACAAAACTCCAAAGACAAAAGCTAGTTGTTCTATTATCCCCTGGTCATGTGACTCAAAGTGATTGAAAGCTACCACTGTATATTGTTTATACACTTTGACTGTATTTTAATGCAACACCTTAAAAACACATGATTATTTTTGGTTATCAAGCCCCCTAACAAATTTACATCCTCCTTCTCATAGTGACCACAATAATGGCGTTAAGATAGCAAGAATGCTTGAAATCTATACTAGTCGAACGAAGAAGTAAAATGAGGTATTCTCTAAATGCTTCTCACTTAAATTACAGAAAAGGTGGGCTAGCTTCGACTGACGCAGTTTCGAGGCAAACATCACGACTGATGGTGACTGTAGTTATGACACAGTATGAGTAAAGATCTTCTCTCATATCTGTCATTGGAAATTAATTGGCATCTTTTCACCCTCTCTGGTTCAGCGTGCAATACAAGTACAAACATTTATGGATAACTGAAGGAGGAAAAAAAAGAAAAAAACTGGCACAGAACAGGCATCAAAAGTTCTCCACAGTCAGCAGAAGGTTTCCCACCCTCCAACCCCACTTTTCTCATCACTCCCCTCCCCCCCGAGGACGTCATTATCACAGCGAACATGTTACTTGCTACACACCTACAGTATCTTCCCTGATTCATGTGTAAAAATAAAACTGTCTTGTGTTCTTGCGAGAGCAAAAAAAAAGGGACGTTTGATATCTGAACCACTGCCTTTAGTTGAGGAAGTTTATCTGCCGCTTTCAGCCTCTACCCCTGTTTCTCCCCTCATGCCTGTCACCTTGTCGGGCTTGATGTGTCTCTTGATTGCCGGGATCCAGGCTTCACAAAGAAGTCGAGATCCACAGTCAGACATATAGGGCTTAAGTTTTGGGGCAACACATTAAAAAAAGAATGTGCTTAACTTGTCCTCCCATTTTAAAGATTCTCAGAATAACACTGAGCTCATGGGAAGACGCTCGACACTCGGAGCAGCAGTCATGTTAGGTGGAATTAAATTTGCTTGCAAGTCAGAAAAGTTTAGAGAAAAGTTCTTTCTGAGGAGCTGAACTCCCTGTTTATCCCTGAAACCTTAATGGCAAGTGTTACGCGATACTCGGGGGGTAATAAAAGAAGACTAATAGGCTTGAATCGGATCACGCTTTAACAATCAGAAAATCAAAAATCACGGCTGTAAGAAATAACCTTCTGTGTGCGCAGCGACCGACTCGGATATAAATTAGTAGTGCAACAGGAATGTAGCGTCAACAATCTTATCCTAAATGTGTAAATCCTTGTCTGTATTTTCTCGTTGTGTGAACAGATAACTCAGAACGAAGGGGAGTTTATGATCACATTTCCTTACGGCTACCACGCTGGCTTCAACCACGGCTTCAACTGTGCAGAGTCCACAAACTTTGCCACTCTGCGCTGGGTGGACTACGGCAAGATGGCTACCCAGGTAAGACAAGGCAGGCTGGCAGGGTTTATATTCAGTGCTGTTGCAGCGCCATGAAGTCAGTGAAAGATCTAAACTTCTAACTACAGTATTAGAAGTCAGAATTTTTTTTTCTTCTGAAATGAATCCAAAAATATTTGGGGGAATCTGCCCGTTATCAAGGATTTGATCATAATTTGAATGTATGCCTGCTTGAGGCAATGTTGGCTCGGTGCAGCTAAATATAAGTTGGACATGTTATTAGCAGGTGAAAAACCCAAACATGTATTTTGTCAGAATTCCGATGGCAGCCACCGGTGAGCTAACGGCAGCACCGGCAGGCAGCTATACGAGACAAGGCGTGAAAATGCAAAGTGAAAGAAAACATCTGAGACGCTTATTATTTCTGTCATCACGCAAACACTCTGCAGGCAAATGCAGACGCTTCACTTAAAGACATTTGATCTGATGTGTGATTCAGAGGCAGCTCTGCAGCCTTCCTGCTCTGGCTGTTTGCTTCTCTGAAGGGATGTAGTAATAGATCTTATCGAAATATAAAAGCAGCGTCTGGTTCTCTGCTGCACACCATCTGTTACCGACACTAACTGTACCCTCGCATCCGTGCACTGACGCAAACTGCCTCTTTGCCTGTGGGCTGTTGAGCATGAAATTGACAGGGCATGGATGGGTTGTGCAGGGGAGCCCAACTACAATGTCCTCTGGAACAAACTCCTCCCTTGTCTCTTTTCTATACATTCAGCTTGATTTTCCCGTCCACTCCTCCTCCCTCTCTTTCTCCTTGTGTGTGTGTGCGCGTCTCTTTTTTTTTTTTTTTTTCCTGCTTTCTCTCTACTTGGCTGCATGTCAGATTTATGAGGTGCCAGTTTGCAGAAGTACATCTCCCTCCCTTCTCACTCTTTCTCATTTTCGGCCTTCCTACTTTACCCATGTGGCCACTTGTAATTTAAGAACCAGTAGTCCAGGCTCCAGCAGTCTTCCCTCCACCGCTGCCCAAGGGAGCATCTCCACTGCACTTGTCTCAGTTTGATAAAGAAGAGCGGTCCATTCTGCACTACTAATCCGAGTCGACAAATCGACAGCGCAGCACACAGAGTCAGAGGAATGTGAAATGCAGCAGCTCGGCCAATGAGCATGGCTCTCTCTGCCAGTCCATTTTTCTCCTTCTTTCTCTTTCACGCAGGCGTTTCCACTCTCTTTGGGTGGTGGCAGCACTTACAGAGATGCTCCCATAACCAGTGCTGCATAATTGTACGTCTGATAACAGTCACCAGTTATTGTGGGTCTTTGTTTTTCACCCTTTACTGTGTAGGATAGTTGTAGAGAGACAGGGAAACATCTGGAGAAGAGTGGTGAAAGGGCATGCAGCAAATGAACCGCTGGCTGGATTCGGACTGGGTCGCCATCTTATCCGGTTGAGCTACCGGGGCGCCCCATTGTGAGTCATTTTGATGAAGAAGGCGGCTCAGCTGGTACAAATGGCACCGAACCTGTTGAAATTCATTTTTTTTCTCCCTTCCTGAATAGATCTTATTTTTGTTCTTCCTTATTAAAAAGACCTAAAAAGTAATTTCATTGTCATTGTATTCACTGGTTACCTTTTTTTTTTTTTTTTTTTTTTTTGTTCTTCCTTATTAAAAAGACCTAAAAAGTAATCTTGTTGTCATTGTATTCACTGGAATTACCAGTGAAATGTTATTTTAAAATTTATTTCAACTGTCCTTAAAACCTCCATTGAATCACCAGGTTTCAATGCCTTGAAAATCAGGTGTTAAATACCCAAACGTGCACTTACTCTACTACATTTCCCCGCCCTTAAGTACTGAACATATAATTAGAGTCTAATTGTGTTTTATCTCAGCGACAAATTTGTCAGCGATTTTGTTTCCGCTTCAGTTTCAGTTAAGCAAACGGTGTTTTATATATAGACAGTAGTTTTATATAGCTCGCTTACGCCAGCCACTCGCTTGGCAATAATGAAGTCTCTCATTTTCTCTCGGTCTTTCTCTTAACTCCCCCATCTTTCTTCCTCTGTCTTTGGCTCAAGCAGTCATCCGTTAACTCGTTTGGCCGCCTCCCCTCCTCTCTCCCGCCCTCCCCCTTACCGAGCTCGTATTCTGTCGGCACCAAACAGGACAGTGAACGATGGGGCTCGCTATCGAATTTGTCACCGTTTTTGGGGGCTGCCAGCACATGACAGAGAGAAGGAGAGCGAGTGAGCTTAGGTGTGCTTCATGTCTGTCTTAAATACATGCTCCTCCATTGCTGACCCATCTGTCTGACTTACGAAGCGAACACACACCTGCGGTCACAGCAGACCTCTTGTCAGCGCTGCTTGTGTGCCGTGTGTGCTTAAGCGTCTATTGTTTAAGGCATTGCGGTCTTAATTAACCTTCCTCTCAACCCTTTCTGGCTTTGCGTCAGGTATTAGTCATTTCCTTTTGTTTTGTTCGTCATTCAGGGGGTGAACATTGGTGGTGTTTCAAACAGACGTGTTGACTTGAATTTAAGCGAAAACCTTAAACCTCCACTGTTTTACCCGTTCTGGATCTAATCCCCAGTTGTCAAAATCTCTTCTGTAAGTGGTCAAACCAGTTGAGAATTACCAAGCAAGTCACTTACCGTAGAAGTCAAAGATTGCATAAAGATAAAGATAAAGATAAAGATAAACTTTATTCATCCTGAAGGAAATTGTTTTGCCAGAGTACAGTTAAAGCAAGCAAAACAGTTAAAGTAAACAAGTAATTCCAAATAAGAATAAAAATAAAAAGTAAAAAATAAAAGTAAATAAAATAAGAATACAAGTACCAGAGAATGATTAGCATGATTAGCCATCGCGGCATATTAACTGTACTTGGAATTTCTTGGGCAAGTTTGGTGGAAATCACGAGCGCATTGAACCCATTAAAGAAGTAAAGTTGGTAAAAAATGGTCCTGAAGGTTATTACAGTTATGTCTGCCACACCATTATGCTGCTGAATGTTAACAGTTGATGTCCTCTGGGGTCCGTCGTAATCTCAAAGAAAGCCTCTTTCTGTTCATTTGGTGCTCAGTCACAGTTTGCTGCTGTTCCCTCAGGCTTCCGGGGCGATTTTTCTGTCTGGGAGAGGAGCAGAAATCATCCTCCCAGTTCCCAGACTAAATCACATCACTTTGTCATCTCGAGAGTGAATTGCAGATGACTCGCTCCGTCTTTTTATGTTTGTTTGCAGACTTGTCGCGTGTCGGCCCGGTCGGATACGCCGCGATTGGACATCATGGATTTTTATTAGGCTGTTTACGTGCAACCTATGTCTGTCATGACTACTTAACGAGCCTCACTCATGTAGCTGTAGTGTAGACTTACTACATCATTTAACAGGATAAAAACATCTGTATTTATCAGGAAACAAACTGGATTTTTACATTTGGAAAACATGGTTGAAAGATGACGAGGTAGCAGCAGGAAATAATTCCAATTAGTTTACTTGGTGCTGTCGTCTTCAACTTTCTTAGTAAACATGACACACACATAGAACACAGTCTACAGAGAGTGTCATTATCACATTAGAAGCCTGTGATTTTACGTGATAATGCAGTGTGATGAAGGTTAATTGAGATGCGATAATCACAATTACACCGGAGGCGCTCATGAGACGTGGAGCAGCTCGAAGGCAGTCTTTGGCACATTGACCTGCTGTGCGTCTCAGATTTTAAGTCGTTTAAAATTGCAGTTTTAAATTAAAATCGCCGCTGGGAACAGCCTCTAATCAACCTTCCTGCTTTTATTGAAACAACATAGCAAAATGCAAACACAGAGATGTTGCTGTGTCTTGGTAACTGGTCACTTCTATAGCGCTTTTATCCAAAGTGCTTTACAGTGTGTTTGTCATTCACCCATTCACACACCAATGGCGACAGAGCTGCCATGCAAGGTGCTGCCTGCCATTGGGAACAACTTCGAGTTCAGTGTCTTGCCCAAGTCGACTGTGGAGGGGATCGAACCGCCAGCCTTGCGATTGGAGGACAACCCACTCGACCACCTGAGCCACAGCCGCCCTTGATGTTGGTTGAAGATTAGGAAAATTAGTAGATTTTGTAGTTTTACTTATAGAAAAGTCATTTGCCTGTAATGGCTTATCCAGGATTGCAACTTTTTCTTTGAAACTTTTCTTTTTCTAGGTCACGACTGCATCAAGTCTGCAGTTTCCAGCCCACCCTACAACTATTCACTGCTATTAAAGGGCAGCTGCATTGTAACTAAGGACAGCTTTTAGTTTGGAGGAGAGTGGGCCACAGACTTACGGCCACACGTTGAGATTAGTTTAATCGGTTGAAGTATCGCTGACATTTACAGCAGAAAAGTTGGTGCAACATAAACCTGACAGATGCAGCAATACGCGGCCGTGCGCGCTGTTTGTTACCAGCGCAGTCAGCTTTATGGCCGCGAACGCCTTACAACACTTACTAATGAACGTTTCTGCATTGCTCATTGTTTTCTTTTCAGTCGCCCTCTCTTTGCAGCATGTTAAACAGCTGTGCTAAAATGTGGGCGTATATGGAGATTTAAAGGAGCCAAAGAAATAAGTGGGAGGGCGAGAAAAATGAGAGCAAATGTAGTCCTTATTTAAACTTGCTCAGCATTATTTCTACTCAATGCAACTTGCGGAACAGACAAACAAGCAAATACCTCGAGTCTCGTTTTGCAGTAGGTGTTCACAGCATGAGCAGCTCGATGAAATACATCCCCGCTGTGAGAACTATTCAGCATTTTTGCACCTTTCGTAATTTTTAATTACATCTCAAATCATTCCTCATTCTTCGGATCGTCTTTCCGGTTATTTTCGTCCCCATCAGTTGTGCGATCAAAGCACGCATAACAAATTTGGGATAATCAAAGTTTCCCAGCTGCTGCGAGCGAGGTCGGACGGGTCAGACTCGAACCTTGTTTTGTTATTAATACTCCGAGTCCACGGATCCATCGAGAGTCCCCAGGCTCTCGGTTTTCTGTGGCTCCCACAATTTAGCTTCATTATGAGCCCGAGTATACTTCAGGGCTCATTGACTGCCTGCCTCAGGGCAAGTTTTTTATTTTCTCAGATCTTGCGCATCTCCAAATGCGTTTCCTCTAATTAAGTTTTTATATGATAATAAAGTGTAAGTCGTCGGAGCCCTTGAGGACGGCAACAATATCCACAACCTCTTTTTGGTTTCATTAGAATAAAAGAACGTATATCCTTGTACAAGTGGAAATTTTCAACAGGTGCAATCAGTGTAAGAGCAACGTTTGTCTTTTGTGTTTCTGGCGTGATGCGGTTTTCTACTAAAGGTTTCTTGGCGGTCGGATGTAGCCACGCTCACTTGCCCCCCCTCTGCCCTCCCACTTTCCCGATCCGCCACCCTGCACCCTCCACCCGACATCATATTTTAATGTTTCCGTCTGTCAAATGGTGTCTAGATGAGATGTAGCCTGGATATTGTTTTGCTGTGGAGGTGTGAGCTGTTGTGTTTCCAGTAATTGAACATAAGACTCTCAGTACTGCTCAGAAAATAATAGGGCCAGAATGTAATATAGCAAGCAAGGCACAAAAGAGAAATATTTTCATCTCGCTCTCTCTCCTCCCCTGTTTTTGTTTGCTGCATCTCCCTCTTTTTGTTTCCTTCATTTCTAAACTTTTTTTTTTTTTTGCAACTGCCATTTTTCACTCTATTACACACAGCACTGTGGTTTCCTCTAACAACTCTGCTGCTGCTGCTGCTTCAGCTGCTGCTTTCTCTCGTCAGCAGAATGATTCATTGACCTGTAATGTCATTCTGAAGGTTTTTGGAGACATTTTGAAATGCGAGCGGTTACCAGATGCAGCAGTCACTCTTATTTACATCTGAGGCTCATTCGCCAGGTCATACGTTGCGCTGTGTTTTATCTGCTGCCATATTTCAGACTAGCTTTGATCGGTGCTGTGAATACAACAGCGGACAGCTAATGGCGCGTGGTTTACTTACAGCTTGTGTGTGTGTTCTAATTCTCCTGCCGGGTTTAAGTAAGTTACTGAGATGGAGGTGTGAATGATTCAGACAGTTTAACCTTCTTTCTGTCCAAGTTGCTCTTGTTGTTTTTATACACGGTGCTCTTCTCACCTCATCCTACAGTAATTTGTACAGTGCCATTCAAAAATAAGCGTTATTAGTAAATGCTGTTGCTAATCCTACGTGATTACAGCCCAGATAATGTCACTGCCTCCATATTGTCGATAGAGCAAAGAGCAAGGTGTGTTATAATTAATATAACGCAGACTATAACCTCCTCAGACGGGCGCTCTGCTTAGCATTCATACACTCGACTTGTTTTTTTTTTTATGAAACATTGCAGATCCTTTGTATAAATACATTTAAGTTGAAGGAACACGTCTTGCTCTGCTGCTGTGCCTCTCTGTCCTCATCCATGTTGATTTTTGGATTCTTCATCAGTTTGCCACAGAAGGCGCTCCTCCTCTTTCTGATCACTCACTGCACCGAGTTCTCAGTCAAGAATCTGTGAAGTGTAGCTGAAAAGCTTTATCTGTAGCAGTTGCTCCATATGTAGACAAACTCCTCGACTCTCCAACTGTAGGGGATTAGGCTCTGAAAAACCTGAAAGCACTGGGATGTGACATGAGTTCCCAGGTTCTGTTTAACTAGAAATTAATTCGCCTTTTTTGTTTGTTTGTTACACAGAGTTTGCTTTCTTGTTTACCTGCAGCTATTCCCTCTTCTAACGCAGTGCCATGTCCTCCTCCTCCTCCTCCTCTGCATGTTTGTTTTTTCCCAGTGTTCCTGTCGAAAGGACATGGTGAAGATCTCCATGGATGTGTTTGTGCGCTGCCTGCAGCCTGATCGCTACGAGCTGTGGAAGCAGGGCAAAGACGCCACAATGCTAGACCACCTGAAGGCCACAGAGCTCAGCAGCCCTGAACTAGAGAGCTGGAGGCAGCATCGTGTCACCTACAGGGCTAACCTCCTGCGAAGGTGAGGGGTTTGATACACACACTGCTGTCGGGTATTAAGAATATCTCAAAACGTGCATCTGTTGTGTGAGTATATTTGACATTTTAGTATCAAATCCTGCTTTTGTACATAATGTGCTAATTCCAAAATGATCTGTGACATACTGAAACAAGAAGTCGCTGTTTAGCATAAGTGTAATACATGCAGATTTTATAAATGCATGAAGGTCTAACGTAGCCGTCTCTCTGCACTACCCCAGGGCCATGCAGAAGATGAAGCAGGTCCGTCGTCTGAAGCTGGAGGAGGTGAAGGTGCTGGCGGAGGAGGGCATTGAGCTGAATGCTACTGAGTACCAGCGTCAGGTGGAGGAGCGCGAGGCCCAGAGGAGGCAGGAGAGGGAGGAGCGTCTAGCCAGAGAGGCCATGATGACCCTGGAGGCCATGGAGCGTGAGGAGCAGGAGGCTGCCGAGGCCGCCGCTAAAGCAGCAGAGACTCCGACTGTGGAGGGTGAGGAAGAAGTGTTCAGCTACTGTAGTTTGTTTGTGTGTAAGGAAGGGGCTGTTATTTCAGAGTGTAAATTTAGCTTGGCTAATGTAGAACCTTTCAATTACAAAACTCATCACTTCTTAGCACAATCCACATCTCTGTATTAATCACAGTTCCTCATATAGTCTGTCACCTTTTCTTTTTTCTTTTTTTTTTTTAATAAGCTGTTGCCACTCCTGACTTTTTCTTCCCCTCCTGTTTTCTTGAAGAGCCAGAAGCCAAACCGCAGAACTTGACAGATGACGTCGAGAAAAAGAAGCCGAAAAAGCCGAAGAAGATCTCCAATATCCAAAGTGCCATGACTGGATTTGAGGAAGCATTTGAGCAGTTTGCTACGTCTGGCATCAATAATTCTAAGAAGGCCGTGGCCAGTCATGTAGACACTCTATCCCCGAGACACACTGACATCCCGGCAGACAGCAAGATGGATGTGAGTGCCACCCAGGTGAGAATGACTGAAAATCAATAGATTTCTCCTTCTGATTTGTGACACAATTAAACCTCTGAATTGGCTCATGAAAAGCAAAATTAATTCAGCCTGGCAAGAATTCACAAACATTTGCTGTCATCAGTTAAAGACACAAATCAAAACCGCAAAACAAATCAGAATGTAGGTGTTTCTCAGTGTTGATTAATGCAATATTGCGTAACAAATTGGCTTCCATGTAGCAGAAAGGTGTTAAATGCTAACAAGCTAATTAGGTATTTTCCTTCTTGCAAGTTTTATAATTTTTTTTTTCTAGTACAGCAAAGTCAACAGTTTACAAAATGAACCAGAACTTTTTAGCGTACCAACAAGACTTTTATTTGTAAGGTTAAAACACATTTAACAGACAGAAATGATCAGAAGACAATATAAAACAAGCTTTTTTTTCAGGCATGCTACTCCAAGATGAAAATGCCAACAGAGGTAAAAAAGAGTCGCCGCCACCCCCTCAGCAAGCCGCCCATGCGCTCCCCGCTGTCCATCGTCAAGCAAGACCCTACGAGTGACAAAGGTAGGTGGTTTGTATTTGGCACTTAGATATATGTACTGTAAACATATTCTTATTTTTTCAACTGTTAAGGAGTAGTCACCTTCTTCTATGAGCTGCAAATCCACCCACCTTGCTGATGAATCCACTTTACATACCGGACACTCTACAGTCTGACGTCATTCATTACATCTGTCAACTGATCTGCACCGACTTGCCTTCATTTTATACCCTAATATTCTGTGTTGTCTTTTTGCTTTTGTTTACCCCCTTTGTTGAATATTCATGCAGCTGTAACAGCTGAATTTCCCTCTGGGGATTAATAAAGTCAGTCTACAGTGTAAGAATTTGATCAATCTGGATGTCACTTGGTGTTCATGTAACCGCCTTGGAAACAGTTGCTTTAAAAGACCGAAGATATTTACACACAGATTTACCAAAAACACGATTTTCCAGAAACCTACGCTATTTGTTTCCCCCCGTCTCCCTCATTATTCATTTCACCCACTGGTCTCTCCATCATGGTGCTTATAATGAAGAAGACACCATTTCTGTTTTGATTATTGATCTGGGGAAAGAAAAACAAGCAGGACTGAAGCTCCCTGTGGGGATAATGAAATCAAGACAGCAAGGCTTATTTTCCCTGCTCTCCCTTCCGTGTTTTTCTTTTCATTTTCTGACTGACACTTATTGATCTGGGGATCATGACTTCCAATTACCTGCTTTCAAAGTCACTTTAAGTTGGCAGCAGGGGACCCGACTCGAGGCCTGTCCTTCAGAAGGGTGGATGGGGGACAAGGGGGGAGAGAGAGAAAGCAGGCAATGTGAAAAAAAAGACGGTTAAATGGGAAGCTTGTGAAAAGATCTTCCTGCCTTCTGTCCAGGTCTAACAAACGGTCTGGATCAGTAGCTTCAGGGCTTTACTGTAAAATTGATTCCCGGCCCTGAGTAGCAAATTATTAATGCCTGTCCTGTTTGCGTTCATCAGCCGGTTGTATCAGGAGTGGTGTTGTTATTGTCCGTGAACAGAATGTACTCTTCTTGTCTCTTGGCAGGGGGCTCGAAAAAGACTCTGGAGCTACTCTAAAAAACACTTAATATGCAATTCAGAGCAAAATAAAAAATAATCACCACCGACAAACCTTCCCACATGTCTTTACGGTGTGTCATTTACCGCTAATTGTGGATATTTTCTTTTGCGGCAGCAGCCCTGTAATTATTTAATTTCCTGCCCACAGAGCTGTCCTCACCCATGCCGCTGGATAGCGACATGAAGAAACAAGAGCACCTGTGGCAGAACCATTCACCCAACTTCCTGGCAGAGAAGGCTTTCAACGCGGCGGTGGCTGCACTCCAACCGCACTGTGCTGTCTGCTCGCTCTTCTGTCCGTACACTAAGGTAAAGCCGCGCACTGCCGCAGAGGTCACAGTTCAGGAGGTTAGCACTGGTGATAACAAGAAGCTGACTATTAAAACTACTAACTGACACATTGACATATGTCTTTTTAACCATTTTATTTTAAGGAGTTCCTAATTCTCTGCAACCTTTTCAGCCACAAAAAGACGGCTCGGTCGCAAGCGATGCCGTGCGCACCGCCCCTCCCCGCCACGGCAGCTTGACTCGTCCACTCGTCCCAGAGATGTGTTTCAGTGTTGGAGCAGGAAACACAGAGCCGCCACCCACCAACTGCCACATTGGGGAGGATGGAACCAGCCTTCTGATCCGCTGTTCATCTTGCCACATGCAGGCTCATTCCAGTACGTATTAAACTTGTCTGTGTTGGGCTAACATTAGGGCACAGCCTGGTTCACTACGCCCTCCTTGCTGTGGATTAATAACACTTCTGGACAGGTGTGCTAGTTTTTGTGAATTCTTTTTAGACAATCTTAAAAAATGCATTCGTGCGCAGCAGTGTTTGTTTTTCAGGAATGAAAAGTTAAAGCTCCTGCAGCTACGGGAAGAGTTCTAGCAAAGAGAATTTGATTAAAGCTCCTACTGAAGGAACTTCCGTTAGTGTTTGTACAGCCGCAGAGACGTGGAGCACGTTGGTGTCAAAGCATGTCAGAAGTCGGCCTTTTCATATTTTCGGCTGTTTATTTACAGACAGGTGGCAAATTAAAGTGAAAAAAAATGAACCCTGATCCCTGCAGTGAGAGGATCCGGTGGCTCTGTGATGCCTGGGGAGCGTTTTGCTGGCATGGTTTGAGTCCAGTTGGCCGCGGAGAGGGAAGAGGAAAGTTCTTCTGAGTAATGGCCTTTACCTTATGACGGAGCATTTCCATCCTAAAGGGAGTGGTCTTTTTCAGGATGACGGTGAGCCCATCCACAGGGCACGAGGCACCACTGGATGGTTTGATTATAGAGTGAATCATATGCTATGGCCTTTAGAGTCATCAGACCTCAGCCCAGCTCAACACCTATGGGAGATTTTGGACGGACATGTTAGGCAGCAATCTGCACCAACATCATCAAAACATCAAATGAGGGAATAGTTTTTGAAAGAATGCCTCCAGATGAAGTTTAGAATTAAAACCAAGCAACATCAAAGCTGTTCTGGTGGCACATGGTGGTCCAACACCTAATAAAGAAACCTTACACAGTTTTTTCCTTTAATTTGTCACCTGTCCTCTTAACTCTATATATGATACATAATAAAGTCTACATATGTTGTACAAGGGCATAGATGTAGCTGCAAACATACATTTTGAAAACACAAATTTACGACTTTACAGTGTAGTTAACGTCACAAACAGACACCCGCTGGTTGTATAACGGAGCGTAGAAGCTCTTTCTTTACTCAACAATATTTTGTGAATGTAGAAGTCTTTTGTCCGCGTATTTTTTGTAGAAACGTTGTATTTGATTCTGTTCTGCAGCATTTGATTGATAACACAAGCCCATACACGGACTGGCAAGTTTTACAGACTCCACTGGACATTTCACTGTGTTTCTCTGCTCACATCCCTCCTCCCTCCCCTCCCCGGACCCCTGAGAATAGTGTTGGAAAAATAGGAAGCACAGAAGACGAGACTCCAGAACAGCAGTACAACAAACTGTCTGCTCAATTCCCCCGTTGCCATGCTCAGTGAGGCTTTCTAGTTTAACTCTCCTTGACTCGGGTTAAACTAGCTAAGAGGCTGTTGAAGCAGCGCAAAGGTCTCTCTGAGAGCAGAACACCATAAACTTCCCCAGCTCCTATTTACTCTGCTTTCTGCACTTCATCATTTTTTCACAAGAAAGTTGACTTTTAAGGGCATCTTTGCTTCTGTAGAAGCTAAGGACAGGAGAGCTGGAGAGATAGGCGGCTTGTTAGCATTATGTTACCTCAGGATTCTCTCTGTGCTCAGCTCTAGTTCCTATGGCCAGATGCAGGGAGGAGCTGTCTAGACATTTTTAAGTTTGCTAATAGTGCACATAGTATGTTCATCATGCATGGTTAAAAAAAAAAGAACAGCGTTTCGAACTATAAGCACGAAAGGATGTTTTGCGTCTGGCTAAACACACCACATAAATCTAGTGAGAAACACACACACCAACCCTCTTGGGTTCTTATTATCCCTAAAGCTGGAGTGCACCTTCAAGGCCAGTTCATTAGTCATCCAGGGATGAGCCGGGCTCAGCTGGGGAAACAGCGCTGCTATTGATAAGAGGACATGAAGCAGAAAGATCTCCTGTCAAAATCGCCTGCTCTGGGCTCCATCCCTTTTGCTCCTCATTGTTTGGGAGTGGACACCCAACTAAAAAATCATTCAGACCTGTCCAGGTGTTACATAAACCTTCAAGCCTTGTTGTGTAGAAGCTCGAATTGGAGACAGTGATGGGAAGATCGAGCAGGTTATAAAGAAAGAGCGAACAAAATGGGCAACAATAGATTTGTGCTTTAAAAAAAGATGGGAAAAATGGGGGTAATAAACCTGAATATGTTTCGAGCAATGCTAAATGTTAGTGGGAAGATATGTGAGGTCATTAACGTCTCCTCCCTACAGGCTGTTACGGAGTAAAGCCAGACTCTGTCGGCGATTCCTGGATGTGCTCCAGGTGTGCAGCAGGAGCCTGGACAGTGGTGAGTAGAAGCCATACCTGATGCCAAAACAGTCTTTTGGCTCACTCACACGTCTAGAAAAGCTGTTCTCCTCCAGGATTAATAGAAGGAGACTGAGGTGCACATGTTTCAGTGGACTTGCCTACATTTTTTACAGTCTTGGCCAGGGCTCCCTTGAAAAAGAGATCTTGCAATTTCAAGGAGACTCACCTTGTTAAATAAAGATTAAATTAAAAAAAACATTATTTAGAGTAATGTCTGTTGTTGTAAAGACCACGTTATTATTATATACGATAATCAGTGTCACTCTGTTCTCTGTTTCCCAAAACTTAGTCGTCGTTGTCTCTCTGTTTCACAGGAGTGTTGCCTCTGTAACCTGAGAGGAGGAGCTTTGAAGACCACCACAGACAACCGGTTAGTGTCACGTGCACGGTTTGGATGTGGCATTTGCATAATTAGCAGCAAATGCGCTAATGTGAAAATTCCAGAGGCGTTTATTAAGCAGGAAACAATTAAAACAGAAGACATCATGCAGAAAATGGTGTTTGTAACGTACCGACTTTCCATTTAAGAAGATTTTCCTCACGCAAGTCCTGCGTTTATATGGCGCCTTTTCCCTCTCTCTGTGTTACCAGGTGGGTCCACGTCATCTGTGCCATTGCTGTGGCCGAAGCTCGCTTTGTCAACGCTATTGAGAGGCAGCCGGTGGACGTCAGTGCTGTCCCAGAAACCCGCAAGAATCTGGTACGGAGTGACAAAGAAAAGATTTACACATGGTTCTTATCCTGAAGTTTAATGTAAAATGGGCCACATTTAAACCCAGCCAGGACCATCTCTACAGTCACTATCTTTATCCTCCCTGTTTGAAGAGAGTGGAACTTCTCACTGCAGCTGTTTAATTTCATTCGTCCGTCTACACCATTACAAACTTCTTTCCTCATCCCTGATCTCCCTCTCTTGGTCCTTTTCCTACATTTAGGCGACTCGCTGTCTTTCCTGTTCAGTGCCTCCGTGTCTGTCACTTCCTCTGTTACCCTCCCTCCTTACTTGGCGGATGGATAGCTCGTTTTTTTTTTTTTTTATCTTCTTCTTGCGAGTAGAGGAAGACATGGGGTAAAACAGATGTGCTGAGGGGAATGGCTGAATAATCAGCTGTCATTTCTCACTGCGCCAAATGAACTGCATCGATCCCGTGGGCAGGAGGCAATTTTCCCATTGCTGCTGTGTCTTTGAACACAACTTGTCCCCTGCCTTCCCTTTCCTCTCGGCGTCCCTCCTCCTCGGTCTCCGCTCCCCCTGCTCCAATCACCCGATCCCCACTTCACAGGCAAAAGCAGTGCTTGCTGGTGCATTATCACAAATCTACAAATAATGTCACCTCTCTCCCTTCCCTTGTCTTTGAATAATCTATCAAAGACAAGCTGGGTGACATTTGCATCCGAGTGCTGTCAAAGCAGGTTTCCTCCATCTCCTCTTAAAAGGCTGCGAGAAGAAGCTCTGCGGTCTAATGATTCGGATGGCTGGGCTGATCAAATGTGAGCACGCACCCTTGGAACCAGTTTATATTGCACCGTGTTCAGCAATCAGTGTTTTTTTTTTTTTTCCCTTCTCCCCCCTCCTCCTTCCCCTCCTCCCATCTTTGAACATTCGGTTCTCAGGGATGGAGAGATTTCACACTAGTTGCTTTTGTGTTAGTTATTTCAGAATTTCTCAGGCACAGTAACGCTGCTCAAATCCTCAAAAGTTGTACCTTTCCCAAAGGTAGTGTTGCATCTTGCACCAAGAGGTACTGCGATTTCTGTTCTTGTGAAAAAACAGCCTCGAGCTTGGAAATGCAAGCTTCTTAAATAAATCATCACACAGTCTTTAAAACTGTTTTCCACCTACCATTCCAGGTCCATTCTCCCGCTGCATGAACAAAACAGCGACTTGATTGTTTTCGTTACTTATTGGCCGGCCAGTTATTTTCTCTGTTGGTTAATTTTTCAGTTCAAGGGTTGTCAGTCTTTTTTTTTTTTTGATGCCGGACAACTGGCAAACAACGGTTAGATGGTGAGGAATAGACCAGGCTGGATGTACTTTAGAAGACATGCATCAGGAAGTGAGCAACACCCAACAGAAGTATGAAGAAAAACACATTTAAGTGGAGAGAAATGCATGAGGTCAAGACAACATGTCAAAAATTAAGCAAAGTTAAAAATAAGCTAATTCATTCAGTGCAATTCAATGAGTGTTTTTCTTTGAATAATCTCTTCAGCCTTCGTGTGCAGTCTGCCTCAGAGGGTGGATGTCACGTGAACTGTTTTCGAAATAACGATTAAATGTAATCTCTAACAAACGGCAAGTTTAAACGCAGAAAAAGAAGAAATAAAGAACCCAGCTGGTGTTTTTTTTTGTTTGGTTTTTTTACTGCCATTGTTTCTCCTCCATGTTGCTCTGGTGTCATGTCACCGCCTGCCTACGATGTCAGCGGTGGGAAAAACTAATACCGGCTGCTGAAAACTATAAAACCCACAGCAGCTGGTGAAATATCTGCCCTGCACCGGTGCAAAAATGAAGTATTGACACTTTAATAAAGAATTTTTATTTTTTATCGATCGGCGGCGCGGCGCACTACAGCTGCTCGCGGTGTGATTCTTCAACAGGATGACACACAGACGAAAGGATGGAGAGGTATACGAGTGAGAGAGTGTGAGGGATTGGACAGACATGGAATGTGCGAGATGGTAGATAATCACCATAAGCCCAATAGTTAGTGATTCCGGTTAACAGCTGTCAAAGCTGTAGGGATAATGGGTCGAGTCTGGAAGATCAAAGTGTGTTGTCATGAGTTGAATGAGTATAATTCTGCTTTTTTTTTTAGGCTTTTCATCTCCCTTGTTCTTTCAATTTTAACTGAATCAAAGGGCAAATGAGGGCCGGGGAGGGCAGATGTAAAGACAAAGAGCGGTACTACATGTCCACTGTAGACACGGAGGGTTGTGAATTAAAATGGAGGATGATGGTTTTGGGGCTTGTATGGGCCTCGTGGTGCAGATAAGAGTAGGAAGCTGTGTTGCCAGCCAAAGGCAAAGATTTGGTTGGCTGATGGCAACGTCACACTGGAATTAAGAGATTTGAAATGTTCCAAAGGAGAACAACAAAGTCCTCGGATGGTTGTGTAACAGCTGAGGTTGAAGGAGAAGATGCAGAAAATAGAAAGTAGAAAAATCATCTTTTAATGTCAAAGCGACAGCTCAGGCTGCTGATACGAACAAATGTTAAGTTGTTTAATGTCCCCCCACGACTGACACTGTCGATAGTACAAGTACGTGATGAGCAAAGCTGAAAACAGCTCGTCTATTTTTAATGAGTAGAAACCTGTTAGAGCGCCCAACAGTTGCAAAGATCAGAGAGAAGAGAGAACGGTTACGCTGCCGATTCCTCCACCATCTCGGTTTCTTGGGGTGCCCTACAATTACTGCAATTTCATACTGTGCCAGAACAGCACAGGGAAATAGTTTTTGTAGGAAAAAAAATCGTACATTTAATCATTTCAACCTTCTCGGAGTTTTAGGGGTGAAGGTTTAAGGAGGTCAGCTTCTCAACTTCTTCATAAATAGTTTTGTGAAACTGTGATTTAAATTCAGTTCAGACTTCAGGACACCTGTTTTCTGAGCTTCTTATGTTTCTCAAATTGTCAACATAAATGCAAAAACAAAAAGGTGAATTAGTCTTTAACATTAAAGACCAACGGACGTCTTTTACGTTTCCTTTGCAGAAGTGTGTGTTCTGCCACGGCAAGACTGCCAGTCAGAACCGCGGCGCCTGCATCCAGTGCTCGTACGAGAACTGTGCCACCTCCTTCCACGTCACCTGTGCCCAAATTGCCGGAGTAATCATGACGCCTGCCGACTGGCCCTACGTGGTGTCTGTCACCTGCCACAAGCATAAAAGGAGCACTCCGAAGGTAAGCGCACATCAGCAGAACGGATCATTAAAGCGTAAAGTCAAACCCACAGCAGCTAAAAGGTTCCGTAAAATAGTTAAAATTCCCGTCAAAAGGTCAAGATTGATTAAATATTTTTCTGTACAAGTCATGTTGTATGAATAGGCGGCGTTTTAAATGTTCAAAGAATCTTTTGAGATTGTTTTTGGAGCCAGCTTACAAGTGTAAGAAAACGAGTGGCTTTGTCATGTTGTGCAGCGGATTGTCTGTTCTCATTGCAATCTTTATTTGTCACTGATCTCAGTGTACAAAAAAATAATAATTAGAAAAGCTGTGCTCAAACAAGACACTGATGCCTGAGACTTTATTCTTGTAAAATGTTGCTTAACTGTGTGAGTAAGCACCCGGGCAGTGGAGTTTCCATGAACGCCACCAGCGCCTTGTGCATCGTGCCTCTTATTTCAGGCAGAACACTTTGTCAGCCATTTATTTAGGATCACATGCATTCGAGTTTGGCGGTGACTCTGCTCAAGTGATGCTCTGAAACAATCATGACACAGTCAGTCTCTGAGATCACAACCCCCCCAGCAGAGCCTTAAATCCACAATGTTCAAATAAATACAGTATAAACACAAGAACAAGGAGACCAGCATAAATGGTCCTCACTTTACACAATCCAGTTTACGTAGTTCAAAGGTACAATAATGAACCATCTGCATCCTATAGTCCCGCAATATGGGAAAAAACCAGAGTAATGAAATTGAACTTTTAAAAGGGAGGTGGTTGGTGAGGAGCAGGAGATTTGTTGATGTGCAGAGGCTGGTGTAGCAGCGATGTGGTGAGTGTGGAGCGGCCAGAAGGAATGAACGCTGCCTCGGTTATGAAGCACACGAAGTGGGTGGGCTGGACTTACCGTAAATTCCAGACTATTGAGCACCTAAACATAAGCCCCACCCACTAACTTTATAAAGAAAACAAGTTTTGTACATACATAAGCCGCAGGTGTTCACGTTGTATCATGAGATATTTACACAGAGAGATTTTTTTAAACTTTTCATTAAATACGTACCGGTAACATACACAAATATGTAAATGCTTTTTTCTGAACAGTGCCTGTAACACGTCTGGTTAAATAAATAAAAAACTACAGCAGCCTACCAGGAAAAGTCATTGATCGCTATCTTCATCTTCCTCCTGCACTAAAATTAAAGTCGTCTTCTTCAGTGTCGGAGTTGAACAGCCTCAGAATTACTTCGTCACACACTTCCTCAGTCTCTCTTTCGTTGTCGCTCTCAGTGTCTCTTTGGTCTCGAGGCAACTTCGTAAAAATCCATAAATTAGCCGCATCGTTGTTGAAAGCGTGTGAAAAAAGTAGCGGCTTATAGTCTGGAAATTACGATAAACAGTGAATGATTGGACAGAAAGGGACCTTGTGACGCTCTGACTCCTTTTTCGTCTGAACTAACACATAAGTTCTATGTAAGGTGTCCGACTTACAGCTTTACAATCAGTTTTTGCACCAGAGACAGAACATGACTGTTTCTGCTGGAGACACACACACACACACACACACACACACACACACACTTCCAATTATATCCCAGTCTTAACCTTTGTCGCGGTTTTTCTGTCTTAAGCCTCGAGGGGCACCCAAAAGCCCGCAGGGTCCGACCCTGGGCCAAAGGGTGATCGGTCGCAACAGCGACGCCTGGTACTACCACTGCACCATCATCGGCATGGCAACACAGACGTACTACGAGGTCAACTTCGACGACGGCTCATACTGTGACAACTTGCACCCGGAGAACATACTAGTAAGTACTCACACCTACCTATGTCGCTCTCTTATTAACAACCTGAAAGGAACATCTCAGCAACTCTTAAGCGGTTTGTAGCTCGAGCATCTCAGCAAATGAAAATGTGGATGTGGATCGCCTGTAATGAGCCACTGCTGTGAGGACAAACATCTTCTCGTGACGAAGAGGTTGCGCTAAAAACTAAACAACGTATATATCTAGATATCTAATGTAAAACACCAAAACCCTATCATGAAGTGAACTTTTAATCAGTTCTTTTCCCAAAATAAAATAACACAAGCATATCTCTTAAATGCAATTTCCCTTTCTGTCTCCTCTCTGCCTTCTTACTCATTTTTCATTCATCTCCATCTTCCTCCTCCTCCTCCTCCTCCCTCTCCTCCTCTTCCAGAGTCACGACTGCCTGCGTAGCGGCCCTCCTGACATCGGGGAGCTGATTGTGGTCAGCACACCCGAGGGTCAGGTCCGGAACGCCTCCTTTGTCAAACAGCACACCCACAAGTACTACCAGGTGAGGAAAAACCCCGACTATTAGCCTCAATTCATTTGCAGTCAGACCTGGGATCAAACCTCATCAGTTAGCTGGAGGTTAGACGAGCTCGTTTGTGGCTTAAAGGTGACCGGTCGCTGTCGGAGTCTCTGAGCGGATGAATCTGTGCTGTGGCTGCAAAAATGAAAACGGAACAGCTGCTGTTCAAAAGGCAGTTTTTAGTGCCCAGCTGTGGTATGTGTAGCAATAAAACTACTTAAAAAGTATTAAATGTGTTCATTATTCGGGGCACCATCTAAAGCTGTTTAGAAAATAATAACAAATCAATTTGATCAGTCTTATGGTCAAAAATAGTATATTCTGATTTCATTGACCTGTTCTCTGTTCTAAAGAGACAAACAGGACAAGTGAAAACATCTCATATCTAAACGACACGAGTAAAGCAAATGAAAAACTGATCTTTGGAGGTTAGAAATGCCTGTTCAGTGGGCGGGGCCATGCTGAGAGGGAATTTAATTACTGCGGACACTAATGAACTAACTCTAGAGAATATAAATGGAAATCTGCAGAATGAAGATGAGTATTTGTTTTGACACCAGCCCTTATCGAGCAGAAGTGAAGCTGGAGTTTTGCTTCTCCTGTTCGTCGTGGATGCAGGCCGGTGCTCTGAGTAGCTTCTCCCAGAGACGGACTCCAGCAGGACCTCTCTTAGCCGTTCCCAAGTGCTTCCACAGACCTTTTCATTCGTTGCACCGGCCGGTTTGCTCTCTGGAAGCAGGTTAAGGTCCGCCCTGCTGGTCACTGTTCTAAACTAGACTCACGACAACTATTTCTGAACTTTTTCGGCCAGACGACGACTTCCAAATCACGCAAGGTCTACCGAGGAGCAAAGACACCAGGATGTCGGTTCGCTCACTTACTGCCAGTTATAACTCAGCTTATCACATTAAGGCAAAAAAAGAAAAAGTAGAAAAGTTACACAGCAAAGAAGATGACAGCAAAAATGACAGAACTCCGCTGACAAAGTTCATGGTCTCCTTTTTATACCTGCGGAGCTCCTGGGGGAGTATCGGAAGGCAGAGAGCAATCTTCTCTCACCTTTAGTCAGCTTCTCTCTCCGGTGTTCAGGAGACGGAAAGGAGGAGGAAACTGCCTTTAATGCTGAAGGATTCATTTAAGTTTTATTCTGTGGTGTTTTACCGTCTACCAGCGTGACCCATTAACAGCACAAGTCAGATGAAACTGTAACTTGGATTCGACCTTGATATCAACTGGCATCATTTCATAAGCAAAGGAGAAGATACACATGGATGGCATCACATCATCTCAACTTGAGCACAGTCGCATTATAAACTTATGAAATAGGAGAAAAACTGTTTAAAGTCACATCCACATAAATACCAGGACCCAAGTTCCCCAGCTGAACTTTGCAACAGAGCAATGTCTCACCTGTCAGTGGTTTTAATGTTATGGCTGATGGGTGTTTATATGAACAATTAATCGTTAAATAGATTTTTATCACTGCTGATGACTGAAAGGCGAATAAACCTTCATTTGATGTACATTCCACTCCATTTGGCAACTTGTGCCCTCAGATCTCAGGCCACTTTTACACATAGCCGGGTATTTACAGAAACGGATCTACTTTGTTTTGTTTTGTTTTGTTTTTTAAATAACATTGTTGACACCAGATCATTTTCAAAAAAATCTTTGTTTTCACAAACCCGTCGTTAAGAGCTGCTATGAGCTGCCAGACCTGTAGGGGGCAGTGTAACGAGAAACATGAAGCCATGCTAGCCAATCAGAATCCTAGAAAAAACACAAGCGCAAATGGCACAAATTACTTCCTGTTACTTCAGCGATAACGGCGCGAGGGTCGTTTGTTTGGACCGACAGAGAAGTGGAGCTGCTCCTACATGTGGTGTTGGAGTACAAATCGAATCAAAGCGATCCTTCTCCTCTGCTCCTTCACACAATAGAGCCTTTGTGAATGTAAATGCAAACAGGCCAGAAGCATTTGCACAAACGTAAAAACAAGCCGCATCCGTTTCTATCACGGTAGCCAAACTGGTCGCACGCATATGACGCTGATGACGCTTTCGTCGCACACTGTGGCTTTAAACTCCGTCTCCTCGTGTCGTTTTTCTAAATCTCCACTTTGGCCGAAGTTTTCAGATCTGATCGTTTTCGGTGACTTGTAGCTTCGTTTAAAACCAAAGACCTAAACGCATTGAAATGTCACCGTTTATGCTAAACGGGGCCTCAGTCTTGTCCTGCTTCATTCACAGGCAGACGAGCTACAAACATAAACCTTTCCAACTCCAATCTCACCTTAAAAACCACTTCTTAATACAGCTTTACTTAGTCGTGGAGCGACCACTCTGGGAGCGACGGCGTCATTTGCATTTTTCATCTGATGCTCTCCGGCAGAACGAGGCGAGGCGAGCGAGCCGATGAACTTTTGGTTTCGGGCTGCTCCGCGTAATGGTTTTGCCACCCTCCGATTTGGCTCCCCCAATTTGGTATTTATCAAGGCGCGAGAAGCTCGGCTGCCCCTGTCGATTACGGAGGAGCGTTTTGATACAGCGCGGCATTAAAACATAAAGTGGAGAGATTTAGCATCACTGGTGCATTCTGGGGAATTTATGGGGCAAATCTGCAGAGTGCTTACAAAGTGGAAAATGCAGAATTGAAGATGATGACTGTGGGACTTGTGTGAGAAAGAGGGCATCCTGAAATTCACTCACATAGGAATGTATTAGAGGACAAGGTTAAGTGAGGTTGTTAAATTTTGCCATGATGCTGGTTTTACAAATACACACATCGACCCAAAAAAAAAAAAAAAGGATTGCGGAGACTGCATCTTAGCCCTGAGATCACGTATTGAACCGGACATTGATCCCTGTCTGCTTCATTTAATCTTTTTATTTAAAAAAAATATGAAATGCCTGAAATATAACAACAAATATTGAACTAGTCTTCCAGGTTGTTGCTCGCATTCGCTCCAGCCATCTTTGTTTAGTGCCTCAGACTTGTTTCCTCAGATGCAGATCAATTTTTGTCTCTTTTTCCTCTCCAGAAAGTCAAACCAGCGTCTTTCCCTTCGTGTCTCCTTGTAGCCCCCGTCTACAGCACCGAGAGGCCTCTTACAGACAACGGTTCTGTTGTAATGAGCTAAAAACAAGCCTCCAGCTGGTCACACAGTCACGGCCACAACTCTGACCTTGTCCCTTTTTTTTTTTTTCTTCCTTTTTTTGCTTTTTGCTTTTTTAAAAATGTACATTTAAAGTGCTTAAATGAAGCTCTTATCCAGTCAGTGAGCAGCTTTGGGGTTCAGTGTCGCGGTCAAGGACATTCTGACGGGAGCACATGGTTGTTGATGGAACCATTTGTTATGCCTGAGATCCAACCTGCGACTGTCTGAGTGCAAAAAAAACCATCCTGATGCTCTTTTCTTCACTATGTACAGACTCTTGTGTTACATGAATGATGTCGCTTCTTGCAGTTCTAACAGCTCAGTATATTTGGATCTCTTTACTTGTCTTTCCAGCTGAAGAAAGAAACTCACGTAAATGTGGGTTGATTAATCTGTTCTTTTCATCACCTCTGTCCAGGTTGAGTTTCAGGACCAGAGTCAGCTGATGCTCAAACACTCAGAGATCTTTCAGCTGGACCAGGAGTTACCCAAAAGGGTCCGAGCCCGACTCGTAAGTATTTTATCAGCCGAACTCCTTGCACACCAGACATAGGACGCATTTTCATTTGGAAATATTTGGTTGCAAATAATAAGAAAATCCAACCCGACAATAGCTTGCATTGTTAAGAAAAAAAAAGAAGAAAAGAAGCAGCTGCAGCTCAAACAACTATTAATTCAAACTAGCAGCACTTTGCAGTCCACAGAGGATGAAGGCCTGTGTGTGGGCAACAATGTGTAGGCTGCTAGTTTGAATAAATATCGTTTCATACGCTAAAATAAAGTGCAGGTGTCAAAGCGGAATTAAAATTTCAGAAGGATGCGAACGGAGAGCTGTTGGGGCCACGCCACAGAAGCTTTCCACCAGCCATCGTGTCAGAAGAAAGCAGGAAGACACTCGGCACATAACAGACAGTAATTAACAACAGGACATAGAACACACTCTAACGGTGCAACAGCAATATGAAGGTGTGTTAAGCCAATAATCAAAGCATCACTGGGTGCTGGAAAATAATAACAAAAACAACAACAATTTAAGTTCCTTATGATCAATCGATGTGTGAATGAGCTGCCACAGGGGTACGAAGACTTGTTTGAAAGCTAAACCTTCGTGGTTTTATTGTTTTATTTGATAAACACATTCTCAAGCATACACGAGGAATCCACAAGTTAACCTTTTTGCTCCAAGCAGGTGTTATTTTTGGCACATTTTTCGTCACTGTTGGCTCATTTTTCACTGCGATCTGAAGTCCTGCGTCTGTATGGAAACAGTGCAGCCGTGGCTAGACGTAGAGAGAACTCAAAAATGTCTGTTTTTGCAGTAAAACAAAATTATAATAAACAGCTGTTACCAAAACTGGAAGAAAATGGTGGTTTTACATGATTCTATTTTACATTCTTGACCATATTTGTCTCCTACACAGCCTGCAGTTCAGCCAAACAGACCCAGAATGACTGTCGGTCACACCGGAGGCACTTGTTGCACTTTTGTTTGTGTTTTTACAGAACTGTTGGCAATTTTTTATTTATTTTTTTATTAAATATCCCAATTTTAAGTGTAGATTTTGTTGTTTTTCCCAACAAAACTGAAAATCATGTGCAATTAGTTCAAGGACTGTTGGAAAGTTGAAAATCTGTTGATTGTTTCTCCTTGAACGCTGTCATTAGAATTTTATTTTATTTTGTAAGTATGATGCCTTTCTAGCTCAATCGTGGGTTTAGAGGTTCACCTGGTTGAGAAGAGTAAGAACACAACAGCTAGAACAGCAGACAGTTTGCACTTCTTAAGACTGTTAGCTTTAAATTAGCGTCATTGGGTTTTTATAACTGCTAGCTCAGGTAGCATTAAAGCATTCAACTACACAGCCTTAGTAAACGAACAAACAGGTCATATGTAGTGATGTCAAATGACCTGCAGTTGTTATGGGATAGTTTGCAAGACGTAGAATATGGAACTAAAACCAGCTTTTGGTAGCAGAATATTAGGGCTGGACCCAAACATCTGAATATCCAAATATTCACCCACCAGTATTCGGATGTTCGTCATTAATTGCTCCGAATATCCGGAGCCCAGACATTCGGACCAGCCCTACAGAATCCTAAAGCTCTTGATAACCCTCAGTCTGATTCTGTGTCCGTCTGCTCTCAGGCGATACCGGTACCGCAGGAGGACATTTCCCCAGCAGACGAAGCTAAAGCAGCCAAACGCCGCCGCCTGCCCTCCGACTCGGCTCCTCCCGCCGACACCCCCATGGAGATGACTAATACGCCGGCCTGCCCCCTAACCACGGCCCCGGCAGCGACACCATCACCAGAACACAGTGTTAGCACACCGCCGACCTCACAACCTCTGCCCCAACCCGCCGCGCCGCCGCAGGACGCCCCCGCCCCGCCCGCCGGCGTTCAGATGGACGCCGAGACCCCGATGGACACCAGCGTCGCCTTCACCGACGCCCTCGCGGAGCCGACCCTGGCCTCGGACCCCACGCTGACTCCGCAGTCCGCCCCCTTCCAGTCCACCTTAAACTCTGACCCCCTGCTGTCCGCCCCGTCCCCTCCCCCTCCGCCCCGGCACATGTCCGACTGCTACACGCCCAGCAGCGGCTACGTCTCCTACATGGAGACGCTGCTGCATTCACACTTTCCTCAGGACGATGGCTCCGGCTCCCTGTATTAAACCCGACTCCAGCACGTCGTCACTCGGCCGACGGAGGGCTGAGCCAATAGGAAGTAAGCTAATGGAGGCGGATTCTACTGAGTGCTGTATTAACGGACAAATGTTTCCTTCGCCGGCGCTGAGAGCTCAGGGCGGGAGCAGGAAACCACACGGACACACAAGCACTCTTTTATTGCATGTTACTTTTCTATTTTTGAGTTAATGTATTTGCAGTGGTGCTTTAGCCCGCTCTGAGGCAGCAGCTAAAGAGGACAAGGCTTGTTTGTTTTTTTAAATTTTAATTTTAACATTATTATTATTGTTGTTATTATTATTATTATTATTATTATTTGTTGGATTTTTTTTTTTTTTAGACAGATTTGCTTTTTGTTTTTGGACAGCTGCTGTGCTTTTTTTCTTCCATCTTAATATAAATACATCTCTGGGTGGCATCAACTCCATACCTCGTTGCATTAATTCAATAACAGCACACTCCCGTTTTCTTTCCACAGGAAGCTAATTACTCCGGCGGCCTCTCAGCACTGAGGCTCCGATGAACTTTAAACTCTGCTTTTCTTTTTTAAGTCCAATAACCAGCAACAAGATATCTATTTTTCAATCCAGCCGCTCATGGCTTTGAAACTGTTTGGTGGAACAAAAGCGTCACGTTGTCCATCTGCAGGATATTTTCAGTAAGCTGTTTTCTTGTCGGATTGCAAGAGGTAAACGGGGGAGGCTGGGGTTTAAAACAAACAAAAAAAAAAAGAAAAAAAAGAAATGTATTGTAGCGGGAACTCAGTATTTAAATGTCTTAGTCAAATATTGAAAGAATTATTTGTACTAGAACAAATATGTTGAATGCAAACACTAGTAGATTTGTCTGCAGGATGCATTGAATTTTTGTGAAGACGTGCCACAGTAGTTATCAGATGAGACCTTTATGTATTGACGTCATTCAAACGGTCATTCGGCGGCTCCACTTTTTTGCACCAAATCTGTCTCAGGGTTCCTACATGTGGAAAAACAAAATTTCAGCATCCGATTCTACGCACAGTTTTAAGGACGTAACAGGACAGCCGAGAAATTTTTTCCTCACTCACGATTGAAGTCTGTTGCTGTTCATGTCACTTTTTTTGCGCTGCACTGAGGGACATTCTCCGTTCAACGTATATCTCCTATTGGCAGTTGAACTGGCCAAAAACTGTGAAGTAGGTTTAATGAATGAAAGTCTAGGAAATGCCAGATATTTGGAAAAGAGGAAAATATGTAGGAACCCTAAAAATCTGGATATATTGTACCATTCTTGGTTTGTATAAATCAATATTGTATATTGTTACTGTTGTCTGTTTTTTCTATTTACTGTACTGTATCCTTTGTATGTTCATTTTCTGAACTGAATTCACAAACTTGGCCGATCTAAAATATTAATACCTTTATTTTTGGCAGGTTTTTTGCAGGCATATTACTCAGTTTGTACTGATGACTACGTGTTTTTCTGTTCCTGGGTACGGCCATTTTGTGCTACAGAGGTGCTACAGAGATACTCAACTACTGACAGACTGATTTTTTTCAAAACACTGTCACCTTGTACATACCACAGGCCTTGTATTGTGAATGGAATTTGTAAATGTCACGCCTTTCTTTTCCCTTTTTTTTTTCTTTTTTTTGTTTTGTTCTGTTTTCTGTCACCACGACTGAAATGTTGGAACAAAGATGCGTTCCTGTATCCAAATGATATCCATCAAGAAAATCTTACGTCATGGGGATTAAAGTGGGTTGCTAGTCGCCAGATCTTTGGTGTTTTTGTGCATTCAGTCATGTGTTTTTTTTCGATCCTCATAATGGAAAGAAAATGAGAAAGTCTTCTGATTATTAGGTGTAATATCTAGAACAGGGGTGTCAAACTCCGGTCCTCGAGGGCCGCAATCCTGCATGTTTTAGATGTTTCCCTTCTTCCAACACACCTGATTCAAATGATCAGGATCGTTATCAGACTTCTGCAGAGCTTGATGATGAGCTGATCAGGTGTGATGGAAGAGGGAAACATCTAAAACATGCAGGATTGTGGCCCTCGAGGACCGCAGTTTGACACCCCTGATCTAGAAAGTCACTGTATGTTGAACAAATTTCAGGTATGAAGACAATTTTCTGGAAAGTCAGCTGAGATAAACTTAGCAGGTACGGTGTTAAGTGAAATTAGACCATATTGTCTTCTTTATTACGCAACTAAAGTAAAACATATCTAAACTATTTTAATATATTTAACGTTCAAGTCCAGGAACATTCAAGGAAAAACATCTGTGAAATAGCAGCAATATCAAATATAAAGACGAAGGCGCTAATGTTAGACAGTCATCGGTTTTTCACATCGGCTAAATTTGTTCATCAGACCGATCCTGATATATGGGAAAAAACACAAATATCGGCTGATACCGATGTGGTCGTCGATACATCGTGCATCCCAGAAATGTTTCTTATTGACACTAGAAGTTTGTATTTAAGAAATGAAAACATGCAAAAAGCTGTTTGCACCTTTTTGTAAAAAAAAAAAAAAGTGATGTACGATATTAAAATTTATGGCCAATACCGATATTTCTGATATCACGATAACCGATATTACCGATGTCGATATTCAGTTTTTTGTTCCGACCAAAAAATGAGTTTAAGTAAGCACTGTAAGAACGTGAAAACTATTCTAAAGAAGCCCAAACAAGACCACATAGTCTTTATTATGTAACAAAAGTAAAACATATTTTAACATATTTAACGTTCAAGTCCAGGAACATTTAAGTAAAAACATCTGTGAAATAGCAGCAATATCAAATGTAGAGACGAAGGCGCTAAAGTTAAATGTTCTATTCGTTCATCAGACCGATACCAATACATGTGAAAAAACACTCTGCCGATATGTAGTCGCTGGTACATTGTGCATCCCCAGAAATGAGGAGTTTCTTATTGTCACTAGAAGTTTGTATTTAAGAAAAAAGACGTGCAAAAAGCTGTTTGCACCTTTTTGTAACTAGTGATGCACGATATTAAAATTTATGGCCAATACCGATATTTCTGATATCACGATAACCGATAATACGTAAAAATAAGTAAAAACATGTGTGAAATAGCAGCGATATCAAATGTAGAGATGAAGGCGCTAATGTTAAATGTTCTATTTGTTCATCAGACCGGTACTGATACATGTGAAGAAACACTCGGCCGATACCGATGTAGTCGCTGATACATTGTGCATCCCTGGTAAAAAAAAAACTTTTCAAACTTTCTCAAACCTTTGGAATCCTCATTTTATGTGACTGAAGGCTCAGTAAATGAATATACTGTGAAGGAAAACAGTCCATGAATCACGGCGGCATTTACTCTACAACACTGGATCATGTCCTCTTACGGCCTCCACAGACTTTTCCTCCCTGTTGATCCATTCAGTAATGGTGAAATATAATTAAGGCCATCAGGGCTGCCCTGTGTCGGTGGCGTGTAATTGCCTTTTTAAAGACATGATCGTCTGCCTCCTCCTCAGATGAAGAGATTGTAAAGTGCCAATAATTGGCAGTGCAAACACCAGCACTGCTGTTTATTCCTCACTGCAGTGGCTCATTGGCAGGAGTCCTGGATTCTCGCATTAAGCTCGCAGCGGGGAAGCGTGTTTTTGCGCCTCCTTGCTGGGCTCATCACACAAGTTATTTTTAGATGGTATATGTAATTAGCAGGAACCACCATCCGGACCAGCTGAAACTCCCTCAAAATAAAAACCCTGCAAATTATGTTTTTGGAAATGGAGTGTACGACTGCGTCTTGGGAAAAAGATTCCTTCAGCGTTTTCGGTGTGGCTTCCCCAAGTCTGCCTGCTGGCTGCTTCCTACCTGAAGGGTTGCAATGATTTGCATGCAGCAATGTTCAGGACTGTTTTTTCTGCAGATGCAAAGGTTAAGTCTGGTAATCCTCTCGGGTCTGCAATGGCACAACACGGCTCTGCAACATTTGAAAATGCATTTTAATTCAAGATCCTAACAAATACACAAAATATCACGAATAACGAGGAAACAACCAGGCAGGTGAGGAGGAACAGTTTCCGCCTCTTTCAGTGTGTTCTGTAATCAGGTTGCTGTTGAACGGTTCCTGTCTACCTGTAGCAGGTGCACACATGTCAAGAGGCGCACACGTGCAGATCCATTTAACCAGGAGAACAACCTGCTCTGGAAGGAAACATCCACCCTCACGTGTTCTAAATTTGTACCTTCTTTATGGCTTCTTCCTGACAGACCTGCTTCCATTTGCAACCAAATGAAGGCCGTCGAGTGTCTCAAATGGATAAATATGTGCATTAGCGAGTCCTGCACGCCTCTCACGTGCCTGTGCGTGGGCTGCGTTGCATGTCATTTGAGCTGATTAGCGAAACGCGTCGCGGTGCGAGAGAGGAAATGTGCTGCGAATGACAGCTGGCGTGTCGTAAATGTGACACGACTGGACCTTGTTCGTACGCCGAAAGTACACGTGTCGATTCCTGCACGGACAAATTCATCACAGGAGACATTAGTTCACTCTCAGACTACATGCATAACTGACAGCAATGACTTCATACCAGTGGGGTAAAAAAAGAAAAAGCATTAAAACGTGTATAGTAGGCCTGTTGGTGTTTTCTTCCTTCATCTCTTTATGCAACAACGCTTTGACTCTTCAGTGTTAAGAGCTTCTAAATTTGAAAAGAGCCCAATGAGGAGAGGATAGAAGTGGAAAAGAGAGAAGGTCACGGAAAGAACAAGAAATCTGTGTCTCTTGAGCAAATCGTTAATGTGGGCATGAGCTCACACACTCTCACACACACACACACACACACACACACACACACACACACACACTCTACCACTACTATCCGTGCATATGCCAAGCCTGCATTGCCCTCGCTGGATCAGGGTGGCCATTAACATTCTGAAGTGCCCGCCGTGTCTTTGCAGAGGAACTGGGGATGTGCCAGCTTGGCAATTACTTTAACAACTCCAGAGTTTGATTTCTTTATTCGGTTGAACCCAGCCAGGGGTAAAACTAAGGAGAAACAAGAGGAAGGCGACTCTAAAGGACAAAAGTTTACGCTGACCCATCTGTAGCTTAGTTAAAAGAAACTTTAGGTGCTTCGACAGCTTTGCCAGGACAGTAGTGGGAACGGCGCGTCGCCCTTGAGGCCGCACTTTTCCTTTAAGTTGGAAGGTCACGGCGGCCGGCGTGAGCGAGCTCTCCGCCCCGACGTCCTTCAGGATGACATTAAAACCTCGAACCTGCTCCGCGACCATCAGACACCTGAATGGCTCACATGGAAATTAAAATCGGTGAATGCGCTGGGAACTAATT